TTTGAGTTACGCTGCGGCCAGACACAGGTCTCATGGCGCTAGTATCGTTATTGATTTTTGACATCGGCACGTTCATTGGTTGACGACGAATTCAAAACAATCTGATCGAAGCGTTACTCACTCCCACTCCTTCTCTTTGTTTAGATACTTATAAAAGAAAGAGATACCAGTTAATAATTCCTATTTCGAATCATCTTTCATTCTTTAGCGTTGAGTTTTTATAAGTGAAGCGTGAAGTGTCAGTGTTGACAAGTGATAATTTTTTAATTTTTTCTTTTACGAAATTTAATATTAATTTTGTTTCAGCGATATTTATTGTGATTTGTGTTGTTGTATTAAGTGCTTTCTTATTTAATATGGGAAACAAAACGTACAACAAACTCAGAAAAAGAGGAATCAAGGAGGGATTGCTATCTATGGCTCTCATCCAAGGGTCTGCGCCCTAGATAATACTTTTCCAGTGGGAAAAGCCTTTAAAATTCAAGTATAACAATTTTATGTTTCCGTTTTCCCTTCTTTTAATGTAGGTGCCAATTTTGAGGTAAGTTTGTAATAATTTTTCATATTTTTTCAGTTAATACCTACCCTCTTAATATTATAATTTAACTATGATCTTATGCTTTCCTATGGACACGATTCAAGGAGGGAGTCCTATGGCTGTCATCCAAGCCCTAAATAATAGTTTTCCAGTGGCAACAGCCTTTAAAATTCAAGTATAATAATTTACTTTTTTCAAAGTAGATGTCCATTTAAACTAAATTTTTTTATTTCACTTATTGATTTTAGCATTTATATACAGTATCGGCTAATGAACACTTTCCAATACGCTTGGCTAGAATCGAAAAGAAAACTAAAGAGTTAGCGCATTAGTTCGATCAGGAAACGAATAATATGAAGGTTGCCTTGTGTGCTGTGTAATATGAACAGGCACACGGTGTGATGCATCCCCACGTAGCCGGCTGGCTACGTTCATAGTATTCTATTCCTCCTCCCACTAATGCTAACTCTTTGTAGTTTTTACTTGGACATTAGCAAAACGTATTGTACAACATTCGATAGCTGTCACTGTATTATCATCTCTTAATAACTAAATGATTTCATTTAATAGTTTCTTTTTTTTTTCAGTAAAATGGATATGGCTAGAGTTATCTTCGTCTTTAAAATATATTAAATAAGTTTTATAATTTTTCAAATAAAATACTTTATACAATTTTTTGTTTTTTTTACCAGAGCTAATTTTTTTTCAGATCTAACCTCTATAGGTAAAAAATAAGTGATTTAGGTAAAATTGAAAAGTATATTACATGTTCTTTTAAATGTGTTGTTAATCCAAATGCTGCTCTTATTGTAATAGCTAATAATAAAAGAATTAGTATTATTTTTAGCTATCAAAATAAAAATACCGCCTCGTTTAATCGAACATGCAATATACTTCTCAATAATTATTGCCGAATGAATATATTTAAAAATTCCCGCCATTCCGCGGCTGAAAATTTACAATTTTGGCGGGAAATTTAAATTTCGCCTTTAAATTATATTTGAATTTACCGCCATATCGAGCTAGTTGAGCGGCCAGACACAGACGCATTCTTGCGCTGCAAACTTAGTGCCAACTCTTTAACAAGTGAGATGCACTACTATAGGGGATATATTGTGGCCGCGCTGTTGTGAAATTCCATCGACGAAGGTAAATAAAAACAATATTGTATTTAAATATGCTCCATATTTTTTTAACATATTTACAAATATTTATTTTTACACCTTGATAGACTGTATTATTGTTGGTTTAGTATTTCCAGGGGGTAGTAAAATATCTGTAGCATCATTCTAACCTTAACAATCATTAGTATATGCAATCAGTAAGGAGAACGTGACTACGCCATCTCACCCACTGATGTTGGGTTAGTTGGCGTGAGCCACCTCTCCCGAGATTGTCAAAATTATCGGTTAATTTTTTTTTTATTACTTTTGTATATGCCGACCACCTATAAACGTAAGGGGAGCTGCGCCAGGCATTAAGCACACTTTCAACAGGAGAAACGAAAAAGCTGGCTTTGCCTGGGTTATATCATTCTTGCGACGCAATCCTGATTTGACTGTTGGAAATCAGAGGGTGTTTCACTTGCTCGATCACGCGGTATGAATAAAGAAGATGTTGCTATTTTAAGTTACTGGGCAATATTTTAGAAGAACATAACCTGTTCAACAAGCCTGGACATCTGTATAATATGGACGAAACCGGCTTACAGTTAAACAACAGAGAGCATGTTATAGCGGAAAAAGGCTCCAAAAATGTAGCTGCAGTGATTTCAGGCGAAAAAGGGGAAACTTACGGTAATATCCAGCTGTAATGCGGAGGATGCATTCATACTCCCCACGTGCATTTTAAAGGGTAAAAATATAAAAAAAGAATATGAAGATGATATGCCTCATGGGGCCAAAATATATGTCAGAAAAGTGGTTGCAGTCGGAATTTGTTTCTCGCCTCCCACTGTTCTTCCGTAGAAGTTTTAGAATATGCAGAAGCGAACGATGTCATACTTCTCTGTTTTACTAGCCATACCACAAAATTTTTGCAGCCCCTCGATCGTACATTTTTTAAGGCTTAAAAAAGTTGTTATTATGCTGCCTGCAATTCATTCTTGAGAACTAATCCAACAAGAGCCATCAACAGACTTCAGTTTGGAAAATTGTTAGCTGAAGCGTGGGAAAAGCTACCACAATGAAAAATGCAGATTCAGCTTTTAGATCTATAGGCATCGCTCCATTTAAACCGAACGCAATTCCAGAATATGCCTTTCTCAACAATGAACAAGCTCAGAATAACATTAATCTTGAAATTGTTCACACCGAGAATGATACTGATTCCAACGTAAGGAAACGTAATGCTGAAACGTAATGCTGGGACACAATCTGCAGATATGGCAAACCTTGACACAAACGAAAAAGAAACTCCCGGTAAAATGTTAGACGTAATTTCTCCTATTCCTAGCACGTTTGAAGTCAATGAAGTTCGAAAACGTAGTCGACAGCTTACAGAGGTCCTAACATCTCATGAAAATATTTGTAAATGAAAAGAATTGGCTACGAAGAAAGCTAATAGTTTAATTAGTAAAACCAAATTAAGAGGAGTATTACAAAATCACAATAGTGAACTGCCGAAAGAAGATCACCGCAAAACTCGCCCATCATTGAAAACGAAAGATATTCCAGATGGAAAGAAATTTGAAATTCGTGATACCATTTATCGAATGAGGACCAACAAGGAACATGTGACCTTAAATACAATTCTCTCGGAATTAACAGATAGAAAATTTGACGACATTGGCAGAACAAGTCTATGGCAAGTGATACATAACTTGGGTTTCAAAGGACCCCGCACTTTTTACATTGATATTGGGTACTGACAGAATTTGTTAAAATTTTAGTATGTTACTCTTCAGGTCATAATGGACAACTTTCTTATGGACATCAAGTTTGCAGCTCTACAGGGTGAGCTGTCAGAAGGAGTCAAAAGTAAGGATTGCAGAATTCATATTTTCATATATATCTTTACCACTCTTAAGTAATTCATGTTTTATTCGTGAAACTTATGGCATGAGTTACACTTGTATGTGGTTTGTTAATGCCTATTGTCACATATTAAAATAAATAATACAGAGTGTTTAAAAAATAGAAATATTAATTATAGAAATAAGGTGCATTTTCATGTATTCACGGTGATCAGGAAAGGAGAAAAAGTATGATGAAAATGTCCGCCAAAACGGCTAATGCAGAGATCAAAATCTTATCAGTTCCTTCTTGCGAATTATCAACATTTATACATAAATAAAAACGGAATATGTAGAACTTGAACTGCCCATCGATAGCTCGAAGTTCCCAGCTCACCTTTTCCATATTATGAGCCCAAACCATGTTCATTTCATGTTCCTGACGCTTATCGGGACGATAATTTGGAATAAGCAACATTATTTAATTTGTTAATAACAATTTGCAAATTTTTTAAACGAGATATTCGAGTTACAAACTGTTCTAATCAGACTGATGAATGGTTTGGGGGTCTCGAAGTTCAATTCGGTTATCTGTTGTGAATCTTTCCGATAGATGGCGCTTGATGAAAAAAGTCCACTTCTAAACAAAATACTACTGGAAATTTATATACAACCCACAGATAATGTATGATTATCATACACATACCAAGCTGTGTCATTTTCTCTTCCAAAATGAGTCACAAAAGTAGTAAGTGCATCCACGAGGAAAATAGAAAAAAGTATGTGCCCCGTGTGGTAAAAAAATTGTCATTCACCGTAAATCCTCTTTTCTCATCAATGAGGACCTAGAAAAACTGTTAAAAAAATTCTTGTCGCCTGACTTCGATCAGACCAATGAAAAATATCCTCTGGCAATCTGTAGATCTTGTAGATTAACGCTACAAGAATATGGCAAGAAGACTTACAAGAGACATGCCTAATGACACTGATATAATCTTACGATCCAATACCCGATTTCTTAAAACCTGTGAGTGTTACATCTGTTCGACAGCTAGATCCCCAGCACATTTCAAAACTCAAAAAGGAAGAGGCCATTTCCGAGATATTGTTAATAAGGCTGATACATCGAAAAGTTATACATATCCTAAAGTAGAAACCTCTTCACTTGAAGTGATAACACTAGAAAAATCCTCAGATCATCTGCACCTATGCGGGAAATTTTTGCAGCAGATTGACATGAAAATTCACGAGACAACGTAATAAAAATTATTGAAAAGCTTCCAGAGAAAACCTAAGAGCAACTTGCTACCGATATTATAAAGAAAAAATGTAGCGCTGAGGAAAGTATGGGAAGAGGATCGAACGTTGATTTGAGTATGTCTACGAGTGGCCGGAAAACAAGAACAGCTCTTAATCCAGACGACCATCAAAGAGTTGTCTTTGAACAAAGCCGACTAGATAATTTACGGGTAACACTTATTTGAATTTGAATGTGAAAGTAAGGCGAATATGTCTAAAGAAGTTCGACCTGTTGTGTTCGCAAATGCCGAAGAACTTCTGGAAGCAGTTATCCAGAACAGAAAATTGGAAGGGAATTTTCTGATCAAAGTCATAGCAGACGGAGGACAAGGATTCTTCAAAATTAGTTTGACCATTCTCCCTGAAAATTATTCCTTTGATAATTATGACGACTATGATCCCACTTCAAGAGAAGGATCATCTTCGGCAGACGACCCAAATGAATGTGGCAAGCTAGCTAAAACCAGAAAACTCACAAGTGTGAATAAATTGATAATGTTATGCTTAGTACCTCAGATCAAAGAAAGTTATGAAAACATAAAGCGCTTATTTGAACTAACCAAGATAAATGACATCCCATTCAAATTCGTCGCAGATTTCAAACTTTTATTAATTATAAACGGCCAGCAAACTGCAACAGCAACCTATCCCTGTCCCTATTGTTACATCTCATTAGGCAGTTTGAGAGGGTCTTCAACATCTCAGAATGCCCCTGTCACTGACCCTTGTGATATAGAAGGTGATTCAAAATTAAGAACATTTGGAAGCTTGAAAGCAGATTATGAAAAATACTGTCTTGTAGGGAGAAAAAAGAAATTTAGTAAAGATTCTTATAGTACTGTCAATCCTCCTCTTATTTCTGAAGAAGATCGCATTAGTGTTCTGCAAAAATGCATAATCCCCGAGCTCCACATATTACAAGGGTTCGTCAACCATGTCTTCTGGCAAGGATTGGTCAAACTGATAGGTGAAGAAAAAGCCCTATTGTGGCCAAAAAAATTAAATCTAATCTCTAAAAATTACCATGGACATGCATTCGAAGGGAACGCTTGTAGGAAGCTCTTAACAGAAGCCGATAAACTCAACGATCCTGAAATTTATAAGGATGTGGGTATTTTTAAAATAATGCCTTACATTGCTGCATTTAAAGCAATGAACAAGGTTGTAATTTCAAGTTTTACTTCTGGCAAAGTTGGGCCCTTGATTAGCGATCATGTGAAAGAATTGAGAAAATGTTTGGATAGTATAGAAAATGTATCCTGCACATTGAAAATCCATGTCCTTCTGGATCATTTGGAAGAATGCTTATCATTTATTGAAAATGAGACCGGTTTGGGATTCTGGTCCGAGCAAAGTGGAGAGGCCATTCATCATAATTTTTTGAAGTTCTGGGGTCGTTACAAAGTGACAGACATTCTCCATCCTACATATTCAACCAACTTATTGAAAGCTGTCGTTGAGTTTTCTTCTCTCCACCTTTAAATGTATATGTGATTTATTTTTTCATTCAACAATTTAACTCTTCAATGGCATAAAAATTAGAAAAAATAGAAAAAAACCATATAAAATATAAAAGAAAAAACAAAAAAAAATTAAAAATATAAAAAAATGGAGCCAGTGAATCACTACGTCCCCGCCGTTGGCTCTGGGTTAAGCTAAAAGTGGTTTCTTCAAATTGTTAATAACTGATAATAAGCTCTCATGGAGAAAAGCTAGTGGGGATATATAGAGCATTGAAACTCTCAAACCCATTTATGTTTGTGGCATGGGTAAAAAATTTTGAGATTTAGATAACTTGTTTTAACAATTTTTGAATTGTTTATTTAACAGGTAACTCAATTTTTGGTTTAAATATTCTCATATACTTCTAATCCCAAAAAGAATTGTCAAAATTCTAAAAATTTTGCTCTCGGAAAGTCAAATTTTCATTTGAAAATTGTTATTAACAAATTAAATAATATCCCTTGCTCAAAATTATCGTCAAGATAATGTTCGTCAAGCCTTAGGAACCCAATACCACAAAATGAACATGGTTTGGGCTTATAACATGGAAAAGGTGAGCTGGATGGACAATTCATGTTTTACAGATTCCGTTTTTATTTATGTATAAATGTTGATAATTCGCAAAAAGGAGCTGATAGGATTTTGATCTCTGCGGATTTTGGATGTCCAGAGGATCCGGAAACTTTCTGCATTAGCCGTTTTGGCGGACATTTTCATCATACTTTTTCTCCTTTCCTGATCACCGTGTATTACCATAATTATAACATGACTTCTGATCACTTATTTGTTATATTAAATGCTAAATAATATTATTTATTAATACAGGGTGTGACAGAAAGACAAATAATATTAATATAAAAATATTACACTTTCTTTACATAGATTTTTAGACTTCCACTAAATTATAAATCCATATAAAAGAAACTACATTTTTAAAAAACCTGTTTTATTAAATACATTAACTATTTACACACCTTCGAAATCATCTTTCAACAACATCTAAAATATTCCTAATAAAACACTTAAAGTTTTCTTTATATAATTTTCGAATCGTGCAGATTCCAGGTACCACAAAACACTTGAAATATGAGCACACATGCGCATATAGTTCTTGAATCAGTCTTACATTTTCAGTAATATCTAGTAATGGAATTCTCTTGAATTTTATTTAAGTGTGCTTCACATTATTCGCAAATCTCAAATATATTGCAAAAAGCGAAGGCACGCCACATAGAAAGTTTCCTAACAAAAATAAACTACTTACTATCAAAAAAATCCTAATAACAAACTTTTGAAATTGCTCTTAATGCCCAAAAAAAGAAGAAGAAAATATACAATGTAAAATCAATGATAAGGCAACGTATGCCAGATCAATGTGTAAAATAGAATTGCTACGTTTGAATATTCACATCCGATTTTTTATTTCTCGAACGTTTATTTATCCACATCGGACATATCCGCTCCAACTAATGTATGTAACTTGAATCACGTGATCAAAGATTCACAACATCTCAGATGCATCCGATATGGATAAACAAACGCAGCAAATGTAGTTTGAAATTGCAAAGATAAAAACGTGTTAACCCTATCATGATAATTTAGCTGTTATTTAATCTAATACTCGCCAACCTTTTACCTTATAGAATCCTTTTATAATTATTAATCTGATTAATATACAAAGAAATAAAAAACAAATAATGTTTTAGGCGTAAAAAATAATTTATATCAAGATAAAAGTATATAGTGGTATGGAATAAATAAACAATAATTGGCAAGGATTAAATATCAAAAAACTGTAACAGTTTTTTTTTGTTTTAATTTAACTAAAATTAACCTACTAAATCCTCAAAAATAGAATTATATTTAGAAGTGATAAGTTGACATCTGTACTGTGTATAAAAATCAGAAAGGATTTTTCAATTAGAATATGTCTTCTCAGTCATTCATTCAAATCCGAGTTAGTAGAATTATTTCTACATTTAAGTAGGCTTAGAACGAGACTTGGTTAGATAAACAGAGCTATGGTTATAATACGAGCAAAACTGAATTCGTTTAAAAACTTTCTACAATATTTTAGGTATACCAATTTTTCGTTAAATGTGTTTTTGTAATTCTTAGTTGTTTGTGTAGTTTTATCACACCCTGTATTACTTATAAAAATTATCTAATATGAAATGAAATAAAGAAATGGCAAGAAGTACTATTTTAACTATGGTAATACATGTAAAATGCACCATATTTCAGTAACTGATATTCCTAATTTTTTGAACACGCTGTATAATTTATTTTGCAAAGTGTAAGTAAGCATTAACAAACTATATACAAGGGTAACACATGACATAAGTTTCAAGGAAAAGACAAGAAATACTAAATAGTGGTGGAGATATATTTGAAAATATTAATTCTGCACTCCTTACTTTGAATCGTTCTAACAGCTCACCCTGTAGAGCTGTTTACTTGAGGTCCATAAGAAAGTTTCCCCTAATGACCTGAAAAATAACATACTAAAATTTAAACAAATTCTGCCAGTACCCAAAATCAATGTAAAAAGTGCGAGGTCCTTTCAAAAGGAGGATAACAGAAAAGCCCTTTGTGAAAGAAAAGCTGTCGTGCACAAGAGAATTAACTTTCTAAGAAAATATGCTAAATTTAAAGAAGAAGGGGCGAATTTTTTATAGTTAGACGAAACATGGATATTTTCTAGGGGTGCAACCAAGAGAATATGGCAAGATGATAACGTAAAGTCCATCAAACATACCGATGGAGAAGGGAAGCGACACATAATTTTACATGCAGGAGGGAAATCCGGTTTTATAGAAGGTGCTGATTTAATATTTTCATCTAAATCACAATCCAGTGACTATCACGATATGAACACAGAAATGTTTGTAAAATGGTTGCATGAAAAACTTCTCCCAGGATTAAGTGAGCCCAGCGTAATTATTTTAGACAATCCACCTTACCATTCTGAAGTATTAAACAAAAGTCCAACGAATTCTTGGACTGTTGATAAAATTAAAGAATGGTTGACAAAGGAACATATACCATTTCCTCAATATATATTAAAATCAGAATTATTACGTTTGGCAAATATACACGCAAAACCAAAAAACTTTGTTATGGATCAGGTTATTGAAAGTTACGGTCATCAAGTTTTACGTCTGCCACCGTATCATTGCCAGTTTAATCCCATCGAATATATATGGGGAATAGCAAAACAATATTATGACAACCATATTGGGCCTAATGGTTCTAGTGTCGACGCAGTTCGGGAAACTTGGAGAAAAGCACTTTCAATTGCAACTCCAGAAGTGTGGCGGAACTGTATATCCAAGTGCGGGAAACTAATAAAAGAATGGTGGACTCGTGAAAATAAAATAAACGAAATAAGTCCATTCATAATAACAATTAATGGTGATGACAGTGATGATGATGACGATTATGATATCTTGGATGATAATGACTGATTTCATTTTTGTTGGCAAGTTCAATTTTTTTATTTTTCATTTGAAATTCTCTACATGGAACAAATTTTTATGTTAGAAAATATTTTATTTGAGCTAAATAACCCTCTTATTAGACCATATTTTCTGTGAAGTGTAATATTAAATTATTATTAGGTTTATAATAGCCACTTTAGACTCCATTAATGAAGTAGTTTAATTCTGCTCTCAATTATACAAAAGATTCTCCATTATTATTTAATTAAAAAGTTGTACATTATTTTTCATTTCATTTAACCAGTTGATATTTCCACAAAGAACAAGCCAAACTTTCGGGTACTTACCTGGAAATACTCATAAAAAAATTTAATCCGAAACCCGCGTAAGTATAGCGAACAGACTGTATATATTTCATAGTCCGCATTCAACAGTGTTTGTTTGGGTTAAGAGGGGAAATAGATAGACACTATTTTCAGTGTCGCATCATTTTTACGGGGTTTGCAATTAATATAAATAATAAATTTGATACATACCTTTAAAATTCTTTAAATTATGCACATATTTTATAAACTTGCATTATTTAAGTAGGTATCTAGTAATAGTAAATTATTATTATTTATTATTATTTGTGTTGGACACATCAGATTTTTTTAATTCAAACTTTAGAAAGTGTATAACGGGAAAATAAAGGTTGAAATAATGGGTAATAAAAAATATAAAGAGTTTATATTTAAATATCAAAAAGATAAATAAATAGTAGTATATTATACAAATATTTATGATATCTATTAAACACACGTGTACGAGAATTACAATAAAAGAATTTTTTCCAATAACTTATTAAATATAAAAATATTGTTCATAAACAATGTTCAATAGATTACTAAACAATATACTACAAATAGAAATCAAGCTAATACTTAGGTACTCAGGTACATTTGCACTGTCAGTCGTTAACAAATAAGTGAAGCTAATTTTTATTGAAAAACTGTCTTATGATTCGATTATTTCTTAATGACTGGGAGTACAAATAAAAGAAGCTTAAATTTACTTTTTTATCGAAAAACTCACATTAGGTTTTGCTTATTTCTTAATAGAGAGTTATTGGAATCAAAGTTTTATGGTCAAGCAGTATTTAGGAACGACCTTATTTAAATAGCGCTTTACCTTAATTCTTATTTGTAATTTTAGTTATTGGAAGGCGAAACTTTTTAAGTTGACAATTTCTTATTTCTTAACCATGGTGGGTTTCATGGTGGTTCCCTAACGTTTTAACCTAGAAGTATCTTATTAAAAGTCCGTTTTTTCTAAGAATTTATACTTATACATACCTACAAACTTTCGAGAACGCTAAGGCAAAAATGGATGAATTGTTAGAAATCGCTTTGTTGGGAAATGCAGATGACGAAGAAATTGAAATGATCATTTTAGACAATGTTTTAATTAATAGCGACAATGTAGGAAGACAAGGGGTACCTTTTAACTTGGACAATTTTTCTGATGAAGAAGTTATAACACATTTCCGCTTCGAAAGAG